AAAAAGGTTGTCGGTTCAAATCCCGGCTGGGGGGCCTTTCTGGATGAAGTTTGCATGTTCTCTCCGTGCATGCGTGGGTTTTCTTCGGGTACTCCAGATTCCTCTCACAGACCAAAAACATGCATGTTAGACTGATTGGTAACTCTATTGTCCCTAGAGTGAGGCGGGGGACACCTTGTACATGTTTCCAGTCCATTACTGGGACACATAGAGAGAAACAAGACAAACAACCATTCACTCTCTCACTCTCACACAGTGACTGATGGACATGGGTACCAGTGAACCCCACAATCCAAAAAGGAAGAAGTATGTAAAGGTAATGGAAGTATGGATGGATGGATGGTAAGAATCTAATTGTCTTTGTGTCATTAATCACCCTCTATGCAGCTTCTGCATGACAGGTGGAGACAATTGGACTCAGCTGCAGCTGATGAACTGACAATCATACCACTGTTTGGTTCATTTGGGTGAAGAAGCCACAGCTTTTGAGTTTTCAAGTTAGATCATGTTTTAATATTCAGTTTTACTTCCCTCGCGATCACCTTGCCTGATTGCTTGGATTTCCTGGTCTACTACAGAAACCTACCTCAGTCAAAGCATTGTGTTTCTCCTCCTTCAATACAGTTTTTTTTTTTAGATTTCAAACACCTGCTGTTCACTACTGGCCACACCAACCAGTCTCCGTCAAAGAGCTACTCACCTCTTGGAGCTCTTCGTCATCCTCCTTGGACTTCTTGTCTGGTTCTGAAATCCTCCACTCATCCCCTCTACTCAAGAGAAAAGAGACACAAAACAGGAAGAACCTATAGCTTTCTGTGCAGCAATATTCTGGACCTGATTATTGTCCAACCATTCACCAAGTCTGCTTTTCTACAGATTTCTGGTTCCTGTTTCACTTCTCCTTTTGTAAATAAAATTCTTAAATTTTACTCAAGTGTTCTCAGATTGTTTTTGGATATGCAATTCTGGGTATTAAATGAAGGTACAGTATCTTTGCTCTGCAAAGATGACATTAATGTCCATTTAAAGAACATCAGCTGTACAAGAACGTTTGCAGGGAATAGGTTTACAAAAAGATCTGAACTTTTCTTTGATCCCTTCAGTTTGATCAAGAAAGCACATCAGAGACTCTACTTCCTCAGGTGGCTAAGGCGAGCTGGAATGGGAAGCTCAGTCCTCTCCTCCTTCTACAGGTGTGCAGTGGAGAGCATCCTGTGCTCCAGCATCAACGTGTGGCATGAAGGCTGCACAGCTGGAGAGAAGAAAGCTCTGCAGAGGGTGGTGAAGTATGTTGGAGTCAGACTCCCCACCATCATAGACATCTACACCTCCAGATGTAGGGAGAGCCACCTGCATCATGAAGGACCCCACTCACCCAGTGCGCACCCTTTTTTTCCCTGATCCCCTCAGGCAGGAGGTTGAGGAGTATTAAGTGTAGAACCACTAGACTGAGGAACAGCTTCTACCCTGAGGCTGTTAGACTCA